ACATTGTGTACCTGGGTTCATTGATCTTAGACTACTTCTTTTTCGACACCGAGTTAAACAGTCGTATTAGCAAGGCGGCTACCCCAATGTCCAGATTGACAAAGATAGTATAGAATAATGAGCTGACAGAACGCACTAGTCTGCAAAGTTTGGCTTATGTGTAACCTCTTATGCGACACTGAGACTTGGGCAGCGCATGCAGTGCAGGAACAGAAACATATGCGCGTCCTCCGACGACAACGTCCATGAGAGGATTAGGATTCCCAGCATGCACACCCTCTAAAAGAAAAAGTGGCTTGAGTTGCCTCGGTCACCTCACAAGAATGGAGGTTTCTCCTGAAACGATAGCTAACTCAGGGAAAGTGCCCCGAAGGCAGACCTTAAATGCTGCAAAGATGCTTGTAAAAAATCCCTGAAAGCCCTAGATATCAAGCCTGATATTTTTTTAAATCATTTAACCCCAAGCAAGGCAAAAAAGCAACTAAGATGCGGAGGGTTACTGAAATAATATAAGTAAAAGAAATTTTATTAAGCAGCAAGAACAGTAAAAGAAGAAAAAAAACGAGGATTAAAAAGACAGAAGATAAAGATTGACATTGTATTTAAATTTTTGAATGTCAAATTTGACTGGAAAACAAGAAGTCGGAAGAGAGTTCCACAAGCGAGAAGTACAAGAAAAGAAACTGTTAGCATAGAAGTAGCCATTTCAACTGTAATATGATCAGACCTAGCTGCTAATCTAATAATGTGCTTAAATTCCTAAAATCTTGGAACCATAGAGGAAAGTTCATCAGAACAATTACCATGAAAGTATTTATAGAAAAGGCACAAGGAAGCTACATTACGGCAGTGGGAAAGTGGATGAAACCGAGATGCCAGGCAAAGACCAATAAAATTGCAGATTCTTCTTTAGGTTTTATCAAGAATCTATAAATATATAGCGGGAGCACTAGTCCACATGTGACAGCCATATTCTAAACATGGACGAATGGTAGACTTATAACTCTATGGGAAACTATAGCGAACGATTCACCTGTGTGCTTGATAGGATAACGTCAATTCTAATAACAGATCATCAGCGATTTGTTGAACTGATATTTTCAAGGAAATCTCATCAGAAATAAATAAATTCATTTTCTCACTGATAATGAAATTCATATGTGCTGTCTATAGAATTTCAGTGGTTAGCGAGAAGTTAGTGATTTTACAACCCATAGACTTCGACTTTGATGGGGTCTTCCGCATTTTTACTTACATTTCTTGCATAGTTACTACAAGCATACACATGCCTATGAATACAAGGAACATTATATTGATATATACAGGGACAAATACATAGATGTACATATATATTAAGTTACGACTCTGTGGATGATATAAACACATCGAAATACTAACATTTCCTTGTTTTTATTCATAAAATATTGATTTTGCCAGCAGAATGTTTCTTGAAGTTACTCCTGCCTAATGTATATGATATGTGTCCATATGTAATGAATGTATTATCCCGAAGCGGTATTTGTGATTAGACAGATCCACATAATAAAGATACACCCAAATATGATGGTGGGCAATGCAAAGGGCGCCTTTTCCATTGGCATTTGACATTTCTATAAATCTTGACATCAATCGACACTGAACCGAAATCATGGCCGATTTCAAAGAATAGTGAGAAATCTACTTCTATTTTTTTCAAGAGACAATAAAGAATTTATCAGTGGAAAAAAAAGATGGGCGTTCGCGAGCGACTGTTCCAAAGAAGTGAAAAAGAAAAGAAAACGGAAAACAAAGTTAGGATTAAAATGTTTTTCTTTCCCTCTCTCTATAGAAGAAAAACATTTTAATTTTCTTTTTTTCTAATTTTCTTCATTATCTCTCTCTCTCTCTCTCTCGTTATCTATCTATCTATCTATCTATCTATCTATCTATCTATCTATCTATCTGCCTACAGTCAAAACACGCTAAAATCATTGATTCTTGTTAGACAACCAAAGTTAAGAAGCATCAAATCCGGTTAGAACTTAGATGGGGGACAATTTTTGGAATATCGGATACTGTATCCAACTTCCTACAATTCGAAATATATTTCGGGCTTAAATAACCCACAAATTGTTGATAAATCGTAAAAAAAAAAACAAATCTATCGCAGTCTGTTCATATCTATCTATCTATCTATCTATCTATCTATCTCTTTCAGTTTGTATTGTTATTCACGAAGCTTAGTAGGGTACAATGCTTTACTAGTGGGTCACACAATCAGGTTCGAACTCACTACTCTAATAAGATATTTTGCAACCCAAATTTAGTATACACCACTCTAGGGCAAGCATACAGTCTACTCATCTCCATATAAATGTATTTAAGCTTTTACCCTTTAAGTATAAACAAAACGTACAATCAAACAGATATTGGTTGCCCATCCACTCCAAATGGTCATATTGTACTAAAAAGTCTTCAAATTTCAAATTGCAAATCGATTGAATAAGTAAAAATCTAAAGAAATATATGTAATCCTATATTTCCCAAACAGTGACTGATTGACGTTACACATTCTTCATAGCGACACAAAGAAGGAAACATACTTCATGTAAATTTTCAGGACATTCCTTCATTGATATTATTCAATGACTAAAATCATAGTTAAGCAAACCGTTCTAAAAAAAGTACTTATACGTTTTCTATAGTTTTGTCATTGCTACCGATTTAGTTTTATTGCGATAATGTCTCTTTTTCAGTTTTATGAGTATTTTTGTTTCTCGGTGAAGTAGAAACTCATCAATGAGGTATCATTTGTCTTCCAATGACAATTGTACAAGTTTTATCAGTCGAAAACATTTAGATATTTACAATGTTCAATGTGATTTGAGAATTTCCATTTTGGTCTTTAGATTTTTTTTCTTGTATTCTTTCTTTATTCTATCATATTTAGAAGCAGGTCTTAACAACTAATTTATTACTTTGTATTAAAGAGTTCACACACACTCATATATCTAATTATTCATATATTTTTCTCATCAATGAATGGAAATCTTTTTACTCTGAGCATCTCGACCCCGGAAAATCTTGTCGTAACGACTTCCGGGTTAAATTACGATTTTCGAAGACTTCTACGGACTTAACAAAATAGATATATGTACACATATGTGAATTAATGGCTTGCTCCAGTGCAATGGAAAACAAACTATGGACAATCTATTTTTGGTGGCTTTATGACAGACTCTGCGAAGCCTGGAGTGATAGTTGACAAACCAATGCGAGAGAGGGTAATTGTCACTGGATGATACGTTATAAGAACAAAGTGTCATAAAAATATATACTTAAATACGCGCAAGCGTCTGTGTGCGCTTGTATGATTACAAGAATATAAGTATTTGGTTGCAGCTGTGAATATAAATATGAAGCTTAGTTTTTTTCTGGCTCAAGACCATAATAGAGAGATACTCACTATCAATGAGTTGCGAGATAAATTTAATGTGCATAACTCGATTCAATGAATTAAGTTCGATTCTTTTTGTGTGTATATCGAGGAAAAGACAAGAATAGTAAGCAAAATGAAAGATGTCATAATTGACTGCCATCTGTCAAAACTGATAGTGTCATATATTCCTATTGCCTAAGCAGATAAGGCATCATAGAAGATTTGAGTATACATATATTCATTTACCATTTCTACCAACGTGGCATGTCAGTGACAAAACTATGATTAAGATCACTCTGGAGGGAGATCTAAGAACGAAAAATTGAATTCATGTACTTTTTCTAGAATGGCAACATGACCTCTGCAATATATTACGCTAGCTGCATTTAAAAATAACAAAAAAGCCATGTTTTGAATACAAAATATCACACCTAATACAAGGCTCGGGAGCCACTGAAAGTAGAGCGCTACTGTTAAAATAGTTCTGATGAAGAAGGTATAGTGATATGAATGAAAGTGAAGGTGGTAAGAAGTGAAGTGCACGAGGATAGATAACGATTGAAGTCGTTACTATTGTAGTCTTTATAGAAGCGCCTATGGAGGATCTGTTCCAAAAAGTAGCAATTCTTGGGAAAAAAGTTTTCTGAGGGTAACTTTCTCTTTATATTTGGAAGTAGCATGGTGCGTCCTAGTTGTAAAAGTCTGAACTGGGGGAAACAAAGAATGGGGCTCATTTAGCATGGAAATATGAACAGACTTGCAACATTTTGTATCTGTGGGAAAAAGGTGCAGATTTACCCTACAAGCCCGCGTAAACGATTTTGAATTGTAAACTGAAAAATGAGGATTGTGCAGCTTCAGCCCAGTTATGACAGCAATACTCGATTTTTTGTTTTAATCTGACTCTTGGAAAGATAAAATATGACAGGAGGAGGCAGATACTTCCTGGGGAGATAGAATAAAACGCAAATTTTCCGCCATCATTAGAATGTATATGCGTTTCACCTGAGGTTTTGAGTGAATTTGAGATGCATCAGAAGTTTAAAGTATGTAGTAACTTCATTGAGAGCGTAACCGTTTATCTTGGCTGAAGAAAAATCAGGGTCTGATGATCAAAAAAAAGCGATACAGACTTAAAGGTATTGGATGTTACAAGACAATTTTTTTTTGAATGAGATGTTAAGATAGGTCAGAGTAGAGATCAGCTACAAGCCTCTTATTATTTTTATTTTTGGAAATGCCTTTATAATATTTAATATCATCTGTATAGATGATTACTAAAGATATGAGAATATTCCTGGGTAAATCGTTTATAAAAAGCAGGAAGAAGGTAGGATTGAGGAGAAAGTCTTGGGAGACGTTTGCATTAGCCCCATGAGTTTTAGAAGAGTTTTAGAAGACATTTATGGTCCTACTTGAGAGAAAGGAATTGATGACTCCATAAACTCTTCCGGAAATGCGAATTTGTGTAATAAAGTCTTATGCCACACTTTGCCAAAAGCAATTATTTTATAAAGAATTCAATTTTCAATTCTCCAAAATGGAATGAAGAAGAAATATTTTACTTTACCACTAGTTATTGCTAATTCCATACAAAATAAGACAGAGTAGAAAGAAAGAGGGAGAGGGGAAGAAGGACAGGAGATGAACAGAAAGAGTAGAAAGAAAGAGTGAGAAGGGAAGAAAGACAGATGAACAGAAAGAGTAGAAAGAAAGAGTGAGAGGGGAAGAAGGACAGGAGATGAATAGAAACAGTGGAAAGAAAGAGTGAGAAGGGAAGAAAGGCAGATGAACAGAAAGAGTAGAAAGAAAGAGTGAGAAGGGAAGAAAGGCAGATGAACAGAAACAGTTGAAAGATGGAAAGAGGTGGACAAAGTTTTTGTTGTTTATTAAGCCTAATTTGGTACAAGGCCACAATTATTGTGATCTCTTTGAATACAGGAGATGTACAATAGTGTTGATGAAGAAGACAAATTCGCAATTAAAAAGGCGCACAAAGAAATTAAATGACCAGCCGTTGAGAAAGTATTACCGAGAAATAAAGGGAGATCATCCTGAATTCCTCAGTTTGTAAAATAAATATCGAGGTGAATCATTGGCTTTTGTATTTTATTTTCAGTATATTGCTTCGACATTTAACTGACGAGGAAGAAACAGATTGGTGTGGATGAGGAGAAAAAGAAAATATTTTCTGCTTAATGTTATTTTTGAGGGAGAGGGGGGAGAGAAAGAAATGTAGATATAAAGAAAAAGTAGAAAGAAAGAGAGTGAATAGGAGGAGAAAGAAAGGAGATAAAAGAAACAGTAGAAAGAATGAAAGAGAGGGTATAAAAAAGACAGGAGATAAACAGAAACAGCAGAAAGAAAAACAGAGAAAGAATTGGAGAATGACAAGCAGAAACAGTAGAAATAAAGAGAGATAGAGAATGGGGAGATAAAGATAGGCAATAAAGAGACACAGTAGAAAGAAAGAGGGACGTGTAGAAAAACAGGAGATGAACAGAAACAGTTTCAAGAGAGAGGGAGAGAAAGAAAGGGAGAGAAAGAATAAAAAGCGACAGAGAGAGGAGGGATAAAGACAGGATACAAAATGAAAAAGTAGAAAGAAAGCTAGAGAGAGGGTGGAGAAAGAAAGGAGATAAACGAAAACAGTAAAAAGAAAGAGTGGGGATGGATAAATGAGAAATAAAGTTGAAAATGGCTACACACTTTAATTTTGTTATTGAAGCGTTGCTACCGAGAAACTGTCCTTTCATTTGCTGACGTAATAACCACAAAGAAAATAATAGAGTTCGTTTATATATTTATATATATATATATATATATATATATATATATATATGATAGAGAGTGCTTGTAATATTTAGCATGTTTTACTCAACATCCACGATACTTAGAGGTAGAATTACAGATTCCATTATACATTTGCACATATTAAAAATATATAGAATTTTGAATGCAAAATAGATATCTAGATATATTTGAAAAAAAATATATATATATATATATATATATATATATATATATATATATATATATATATATATATCCCTCGATTAATGCGGCTATTGTGTACATGAAAAGATACACGCTAAATCGAAAATGCATTTATCGAATATAAACAAAATAGTTATTCATTTTTAATTTTTATAAAATATTTAATTAATCGGCATCTATTAAACATTAATTTTACATTATTAAGTGCGAATGTTTTACCGCATTAATCGAGTATTATGCTTGCACTAATCGGATATTGGTATAAATGGAAAAAGCATTAATTGAATGCGCATTAATCGAATATTCTTATATATATATATATATATATATATATATATATATATATATATATATAATGGCCGACAAGGAAGATGTTATTAATCTTTTATTGAGATTTTCCACCATTAAACTGAATAAAAGTTTAATTAAATCTTTCTTGTCAGCCGTTTTCAATGAAAGATGCTTGAAAGAAAGGTTGCAGCCCAAATATACATTATATATATGTGTATGTGCGCGCACGCATGTGTATGTGTGTGAGAGGGGGATGGATTGTAATATTTACCATGATTTACTCAATCCCCACCTTTCCAGATATACCCAGATTCACCCACAGTCAGAACGTGAGTTTCTCGACTATCTTTTGGCAAGGGATTGTCTGACGTCTTTAGAAGAAATATATCGAATTCCTAGAAAATCTTTTTCTCTCATTTTATCCTGCGTCGTCTAAGACTTTCATAGGAGAGTATCAAAAAAACCTATTGTGTAATAAAAGGTCATTACTTGAACGGCTGTCAATTAAGTATGGCATCAAAGAAAAATATTGATTCTTGAGCTTTGTTTTTTTTTCTAAGAATTGACTTTTTATAAGCATGTTTGCACCTAAAGACGAGTTTAATGTTTGAAAGCAAACGATGCTGTCAATAATTTTTAAAAAAATCTCCTTTCCAACGTCATCAGTGATAAATGTCAACAATGGCCAAAAGCTTTTCAAGAAAATAAAAGTGGTTTTTCTTGCAGTTATTAAATTCAATTCGTCGTGGATCGTTTTGACCTTGCAATACCGCGAAAATAAGACAAACATTTTTCTGACAACCGAATTCATATTTATGCTTGCAGAAAGAAAAAAAAATCTTTCAATGAAAGAAAAGCAATGACTGATTTTATTTATCTTCATAATTTCTGAAATGGACTCGAGAAGAACACAATTATGTCGAAGTAAGTCTGGTACTGACGGTAAGGTTTCAAATCTGGTTACTGACTGTTTTTGATAAAAGTTGGAGTTTGTTTTTAAAGTAAACGTGTCTGTCCGGCATGTGTTACAAAAGAATCGAGAAAAATAGCTTTTCTTGCCGCTTCCTCTGATTTCACTTCATCTTATCCGTGAAAGAATGTAGTAAAGGAAGACCATCGAAGGCAAGTCAATCATGGTAAATGGAGATTTACCATGATTATAAGATTCTTTTAGCCTTTTCTTTCCAAGAACTACCTACGTTTTCAGAATGATTGTTTATTGCTAGATAAACACAAAAATACGCAAAGCAAGGACCGAAGAAACTAAAGAGAATGTTTTAGGAAAAAGCATGGTGGAGTAATGGATAGCGGCTCGGATTGAGGAATTCCAGTCGAATCCAATACATTCACTTAGGTGCAATACCCTTGGGAAAGCTATGAATCCTCTTCTTCTCCCGCCAGATATGGATAAATAGAAGGACAGACCGGGTTGCAACTGGTCTATTGCAGAAAGAAAACTACGGGGAAAAATTTGCCTCGTCGTTCATGTATCGAAAGTTATATGATCGCCCACGCGTGTATCACGCATGGCACATAAGTGAGTGTGGTGAACCTTCTGCTCAATGTTTTGGTGACTTCATAAAACAGTTTTTTTATTAATTAAGACAATTAAGACGTATACCAAAAACGTACTGGAAATTATTTTTTGTCGCACGCAAAATCCAGCCAATATCTACAGACGATATAGAGAAAAAGCAATTGAGTGTCTTTTTCAAACGCTTGAGCATTTTGCGACCGCCGACAAAAAAAATGGCCCGTGCACATGACATTTATAATCGTGGAAAAGCAGTGAATTTAAAGTATGTTTTTTATGTAGTGTATTTTTATATTATATATATATATATATATATATATATATATATATATATATATATATATATATATATATATATATGTGTGTGTGTGTGTGTGTGTGTGTGTGTGATAAAATGTACTTTTAAGGTATGCTATATTTAGGTGTAAAAGTGCTCAATAGAGGATTGAGCGTATGAAAATATAAACGTGAATATTGAAGTCAGCACCCAGAGATGACGGTCTGTTTCATGCTAAACGGAATCGTCGTGTCTGACGATTGTATTTAGCATGAAACAGACTCTGTCACCTTTGGGTGCTGACTTCACTAATCCACTTTCATATATATATATATATATATATATACTACTGTGAGCACTGTTTTTATAGCCGCTTTCTCATTTTCTTTTATATGATATATATATATATATATATATATATATATATATATATATATATATATATATATATATATATATATATATATTTAAATAAGTAAACATAGAAGTCAACACTTAGAGGCGACAGTCTGTTTCATGCTAGATATAATCTTCAGGCCACGAGTCTTTTTTATATTTACACACGCTCTATCTCTGATATTGAGCACTTTATCCCATAAATATAGTACATCTTAAGACTATATTTCTTCATATATATATATATATGAGACAGAAAACTTGATTCATGTTGAGCAGCTGAACACTTGATTTCCGAATTCTTTTATTTTCTTTTCTATTTAAATTAAATAATAAATTAAGCTAAGAATAAAATTAACAAATTAAAATTAAGCTCTTCAATATGGCAGCCATATCCCATTTTACATGTTTTTCTTGTGCCGATTGAACAAATGGTGGCAATGTTTTTAAAATGAACTGTACTAGTTGAACGTGTTATCATTTTTTTTTTCATAGCAAAACTCTTACGCCCCGGTTATTTACAGACACATAAGTGTTGGAAAATATATTCTTTACTGACGAGAGAATTCTCAAATGAAATTAGAATCTATTCAGATACAGAAGATGAGAAATTTGACAAACATGTGATCATGCTACTGAGATAAATTTATGCACACATGCCAAATGCTTTTATTGTGGTTGTCATTTTTGTACGCATGCGCTGTATGAAATGTTTTGTTCAGTGGTTAATAGACAGAACTAGTCAAATTTTGAATAAATCAATGTTGACCAAGCTATCGCAGATATACAAATTCCAAAAATGTCTATCATCTCCGCCGTATAAGGTGCATTCTGAGACAGTATATGATCTATTCTAATAAGAAATCTGTGAGCACTGCCACCTCAGCCTATTGGTCTGCCCTAAATCTTCCTGTAATAATGCACAGGATGATTTTTTTTTCATCAAAATTTCAGTAAAAATATGCGCTTTATATGGTGGGAATTACAATAAATAATTAATTCTGAAGAATCATTTAATTTTTCTTAATTAGACCGAAATACTGTTTTTTGATTTTCCAAATCAACAACACAAAAAAATTGAATTTTGTTGTGTCATTCATTTTCTGTTTCCTTATATGTCGGTCACATTTTGGAAATGAATTTTTCAACAACAATTCGGATTCTTGTATTTAGATCCTCAATGCCTGTAACTTGGGTGTTTAATACGCGACTCTTTTAGAAATTCAAAGAAATATCTACGTATGATTTCAGGAAATTTGGTTAGTCAACCTTTATGCATCTCTACGACTAATCCACTTGATAAGAAATCCATCAACTACTGATTTAGAAACGATAAAATATCAATGAAATGATATGAAAAAGAAGTTTTACTACAAGAAACCTGCGGAAAATTCTCAAGTTGAAAGAGTTTTATGCTAAGATTATATTGGATTATAAAATTTCGGACATCCTGTTTGTTAGCATTTAGTCTAAATGTTAGAATTTGATGTCATATCACTGGTTCCATTTGATTCTTTTTGTACTGTTGCAGAACTTCCGTTCAGTGTGATTAACATCTCGATATTTTTTTTTCTTCTAAGAGTAATTCTTGGTTGATTTACGATTCGACTTTCTACAAGTGTACGTCTTCCTCGAAAGATTGATTGATATTTCTTTCTTGCAGACAGAAACATCAGTATAAGTTTCCATAATTGTGCTTTGGAAAGGCATGAACATAAAGATTCTTGCTCTTGGTCTGTCATTGCAAATATCTAAAGAATCCATAAATAGTCTTTAGATGGCACGATGACATTATTTCTTTCTTTTTGTCTTTCTTTCTTTCTTTCTTTCTTTCAGTACATTGTTAATTTATTGTAAGTTGTTCAGCGATTTGTAATTCAAGATTTTAAATAGCTTTTCACGAAAATATTAATTCAGAATTTTTTGTATAAATTCTTATGACTGAAAAAAAACTTTTGGACGTTACCATCTTTTCTTCAATCACAAATGTTTTTAAATCTGCATTTTCTCCTTGCCATTGAGGTCATTCTTATGGATTTCGACCAAACCAAGTCTGGTACAAGGATATCAAATAAAGATTTATTTCCTATATTCTTTTGATTCTTCTCTCTTGTGTCTCACTTGATTTACATCTGTTGATCAGAAATAGAAATTATCAATTTAATATGAACTCAAAAAAGCAATTGTTATGTTAACAATGTTAATTGTTAACTTATTGGAAATAATAGTATGTCGGGAAAATAATAAATATGTGTTTTTGTTGCAATGAAATACCGAAATCTTCAATTCAACACTGTAAGAAAAATTCGAGAGAAGCAGACGATGAGAAAGAAAGTCAAGTTCTTCGTTATTTGAGAGGAACAAGTTTCGTGGTCAGTTTCTACTGCGAAAAAAATTAGCAGAGCCTATTTTCTAAACAAGATTAGGCGCCAAATGGTATGTGTTGTTCGATCTCAAAACAAACGATGGAAGCAACATTTGTCCGCTGTTCTTTATATCAATGAAATTTTGTCAGCCGCATTTCGGTGTTTGTATTTCTGTGCATGTCTATTCATCCGAAGATCTACACATATTTTCCTCTCTCTATATAAATTTATTTCAGATCTCTAGTACTCAATAAAGAATTTTCAAAGGAATTCTGCCAACGCCTATTTTCATTCCTCTCATCTTTTCTGCAGAGCTTACCCACATTACTTTGGTAACACGTGTTTCCTCTTTATTATATGTCAAGTGTAGCAGACTTTCAAACATGAATGACCTTGGCGAGCACAATTTACATAACGAAACATCAAATTCACTGGCTTCTTACAGATTCCTATTTTTCCTCTTTCATTTCTCATGAATAAACGAGCATTTCTTCGTTTTTCATTTTCAAAATTGAATGTCGCTTCAGCAAAAAACAATTTTTACTCCGAAGGGCCCAACAGATATGTTGTTTAACATAATTAACAGTTTGTGGTGTACATCGTTAAAGTTGTTTTTCGAGAAGGAAATTGGTTTCATGAAAACCAACGATAATCAAATAAGAAGACGAAATATTGTGGCAATAATAAATCATTTCTTTAGATAAAAATCATTTTTGCTTGTCTTTCCAACTAATTTGCATTACAATAAGAATTATAAGTTAGTTTTCTTTTATCGAAGAAAAGAATCTTTCATCAAAAATGGATTCCGTCCTTCAATCGCGTAAAGAAAAGGGGTATAAAACTGTTCACATATAGAATGCAAATGCATATATGTGGGTTTATGGTTTATGTGCATGTATGCATGCGTGTATGAACAGATAGATATGAACAGACTTGGACAAATAGATATACAGATAAATACTAACGCGTATATATATATATATATATATATATATATATATATATATATATAGAGAGAGAGAGAGAGAGAGAGCCGAGTTCGAATTCCAGTCGAATGCATTACATTCACTTAGGTGCTAATACCCTTGGGAAAGGTGTGAATCCTCTTTTCGCCCTCCAGCTATGAGTAAATAGCAGGACAGATTGGGTTCTATAGACTTGGATGGCAACTGGACTAGGAGAAGGACAACTCTGAATTTAAAACCTGTGGAGGTTCGTTTGGGGACCATGTGACACTTAGTGCACCAGGTCTGTGTATTCGGCCTTTCAAAAAGTGCGGATGGTCCTTCACGGAAACCTTCACCACTATAATCAAATCTCATGTGCTGTTGTCGCGCTGTCGGTTTCCTGGTAACTGATCTGCTTGACCCTCATACGTCGAATTCGACGGGAGAGTCGAGTACGAGTATATATATATATATATATATATATATATATATATATATATATATATATACCCGTCGCTGACTGGGTTTGAAAGAACCATTAGGGTGTCTTGATATTATTGAAATTGGCTGATATTTTAGGAATGGGCATCATTTCAGGTCATTTACCACACCCTTGGAAAATCAATATCTACGTTCCAAATTTAATGACGATAGGTGAAGTAGTTTTTCTTCCTATAGATGTATAGACAGACACACGTGCAGATGTTCAGCTTTATTAATATATATATATATATATGTGTGTGTGTGTTTGTGCGTTTGTGTGTGTGTGTGCATACGTGTGTGTGTGTGGAGAGAGAGAGAGAGAGAGAGAGAGAGAAATAAACAAATAAATGGCTAGAAAAATAGACAAAAATTTGATATTGGAAATACTAAGAAGAAAATCGAAATTAAAGAAATGCCAGAGATAAAAATGAGGAGTCAGATCGATCAATTACTAGGATGATGTAAAAGGACATATAAATATATTAACATATAAATATGGGAAACTTTTATAAAAACCTGAGAGAGAGTGAAAAGATGAAAGAAAGAGAGAAAGAAAGAGAGAAAGAAAGAGAGAAAGAAAGAGAGAAAGAATCACAGAAAAGATATAACTGTGCCAAAAGGGAGTGAGAGAGAAGATAGATATGTAGTGCGAATGGAAAAAAAAGAAACAAAAAAAAGCAAGATAGATAAATACAATCGAGAAATGAATGTGAAAGAAAATAGTAGTAATAAAAACTGTTAAAAGAGGCTGTAAGTTAAGAAAGCGAAAGCCACAGTCACATTAGCTGACACCGAGAGAGCTTGAAAAAAAAGCGCCAAATCGTTTCTTTATTGATTTAAAAGCTATATCTTGGGAACAAAACATCAGAAGATTCTTTCGTGCTTCATTGCGAGAGGTATTGGGAGGTCAATCCATTGCAAGGACAGTTTTGAGATTAAAACATCATAGCATCTACAATTCGAATTGAAACATGGGTTCCTCCTCTTAAAACACCAGATCGAGTGCAATATCAAGCGAATAAAGGGTGGAGGATGTTAACGATGAGCCTGCTGATCAATGTAATTAAGTGATGACGTAATTTCCGCTAAATGGAAAAAAGACTTCCATGAAAAGGTGGATTCTAGAAGAAAAACGTGCTTAGAAATCTCCTCTCTAAAAGAATATCAGGAAATTTATGACTGAATATTGGATTGTACAGTTATATTTCTTTTCCTTTTTCCTCTTCTTTAGTTTAACCCTTCTGTCCAATTCATTTCTTTGTATCAGTCCACTTTGGATTTGTTTTATTTGCTTTTTTCTTTTCTGGAAGAGTTTCACGCTAGAGAAGAAAAATAAATAAAAACAGCTAAATTAGCGTTCAAAACGGATTATACGCGCAAGAATTGTAAGAAAAAAAAATAGCAAGAGAATGGATCTGGTTTAGCATTTGGAATTATTAACAAAAAAAAGGAATGTCTAAATGCCAATGAAGTAACATAGAAGAATGGCGGACGTGAAATGCCCAGAACAATGTATGACAAAAGCACGAGAGAAAAAAAATATGGAAGAGTCGAATTCAGTAAATTCGCTGTATCAAGCTATCCGAATTTTTTTAATGAAGTGATTTCAAACTTTTTTTCAGCTCTTACTTAATTTGATTCAGGTACGCAGGCAAACTCAGAGAAAATTATTATTTAATTCATTTTCGATATGTCACTCATGATTTCATTTAGTTATATATTTATTTATTGATTTTTTTTGGTTTTGTATAGTTTTCTTTCGCGTATTTTTCTTTGGTTTAAAGTTTTGATATTTATATAACGGGTCTGTCTGTCTCTCTCCCCTCCTCTCTCTCTCTCTCTCTCAGCACAAAGAATAAACGAGAGATATAGTGTTTGCCTCATTGTTACATCCGCGATTTTACAACGTTCATTTCCTCATCAGCCCCTTCTTCTCACCTGTACATAAACCGTAGAAGTTGACATCTTGAGATTCAACAAGGTCCATCTTACACGAATCTAAGCAGAGCAAAATACTTGATTAAATGATCATCCTGCGAGAACTACACGGAGATAATTTCGAATTCATTTTGAGTTTTGACTCATTTCAGTTCACAAAATAAATATCAAATTGAATCAACCGATTTCTGGATTTTATTCGACTTTGCGATTCTTTCATATTAACTAACAACAAAGTGTGTGTGCGTACACGTGCCTTTGTGTGTGCGTATGTACGTATTTGGTCAATCATCTTTCACTCTTCAAATGTTACCCAACCACACACACACTCGAATTAGAAGTTATGTTTTAGG